TTTCCTGCTGGACAGTTAGCTTCTGAAAGGCTAAGACTGTACTTGGCGTCTTATTAAAAGTCAGGAGACTAGAACTGCCTGATTGAGTGATTATTCAGGTTTACTGGTTTTCTCCCAAACCCCTAAAATTGCATTTAAAAGCATCTGGGTTAAAAAACCCTTCTTCACCTCTGCTCTGTGTATGCATGTACACATGCAAAACTTTGTCCCTCCAATAGTGAACTTGGTCAGGGGAGGTAGAGCATGCACCAATGCAGATATGCTACCAGGGGGAGGAGGTGACCATTACATGAGTTGGAGCTGAAGACAAGGGAGGGCTGGCTCCCATGTTCAACAGTTCCTTTGGCCAAAAGTTGCATTAGAGACCTTTATCAAGAGCAATTGGCAAGAATGTACTGTTGAAGAGGCGTGAGGGGGTAGAGTCTCAGTGTACTGCATTACTATTTGGAGACTGCTTCAAAGAGCTGATGTCACAGGAGCTTGCTGGAAAGGCACAGGAGATACAGCTGTCACAGTATGTTCGCTTGCATCTTGTGCTCCAAAGCTGCCTGAGTCCTACTGCAGGAACTATTAGGGGAAACCATGGGAAGCATGAGGAGAGAGCAATGGAGGAAGTGGGTAGAAGGTTTGTACATTGGCAATGGCAGAAGTGGTATCTTCATGGGCTAAGCCTGTGGTCCATCAACAACTGGCACAATGGTGGGAAGGTTAGGGGACATGCTTGCTTTAATTCTTCTTCCCAGCTGTGTACCAGATAAGTGACACACACAAACCCTTGCCCCAGCCCAGGTCCTCACAGCGCAGGCACAACTGCTGGACTATTGTGATCCCTCAGTCCATCCACTTGGGTGCAGGACCCACATAGGCTCAACTTTAATGTGGGCTGTGTCCCAGCTGGGACACTTCCTTCCATTCAGTGCCCAACCTGGAATATTGGGCAAAGGCACTAGTCATGGTATGACAGTTCCTCTCCTTTCCTTTATCACAAGTCTGGGAGCTTCTCCACCCCTTTCTGAGGCACCATGTGTGATTGTGGGGACAGAAAATAAATAAGGAAGGCATAATCAAGTCCTTCCATGGCTATCATCAGGCTATGGAAGGTGCTTTGTGTTGGTTAGTGGTGGGGTTGGCTCTCTAGGCAGGTCCCCAGGCAGCACTCTCTGTGGGATGGTGTCCGGATGCAGCATGTACTCTATCAAGGTTCTGTCTTATCCTTACAGAAGGGACTTCTCCAAACCTGTCCTGGCTTCAGCCTACTACTAACAAGCCATCCCCCTTCTGGCAGCTGGGCATGTCACCTCACTAGACAGTTACATCTTCCCAGTTTCAGCTTGCTCGTTGGGCAATGAATATAGTGGGGGGTGGAGAGAATGGAACCATGCTTGAGCCTGAGGGCCTTCATTAGCACAGGTTGCTATGGCTTTGCATTCTCACCTCCGTCTGATGCTCAGTGCTTCCTTCCTCACTCTCATTTTCATAGAATCACAGAACGGTTTGGGTTGGAAAGGACCGTAAGATCATCTATTTCCAACCCCCTGCCATGGGCAGGGACACTTCCCATGAGCCCATGTCGCCCAAGGCTCTGTCCAGCCTGGCCTTGAAAATAGACAACGTCCCTGTCTCTGCATTCCACTATAGCCTTCCGGCTGCCTCCCTGGCTGCAAAACAGCCCTGGTACTAGCTCCACGTAGCTAGCCACAGACATCTGCCAGCTTTTCTTTCTAGCTGGATATATGCTCCCCACTGGTTATCATCCTCCTTCCCTTCTTTGATTGCTTACATTCCCCACCTCCCACCCTTCTGACACCATTGTCTGTGTCACACAGTGACTTGCTGCCTACCTCAACTACAGACAGCACCGTAGTCAGCCAAGGCTCGCTCCTCTGCAAAAGGAAATAAGGAAGTCGATTACACACAAATGCATGCACACAGACAAGAGTGCACAACGTCTTTTCCCAGCCAGAAAACTAAGAAGTCGGCTCCCAAACCCCAGAGTACAAGGGAATCTGCAACCCACCTGGCTGGTAGTAATCGTAGACTTTGATGCTGGCTGGTTTCAGGTTCTTCATCTGAATTACTTGTTCCAGTTGCAGAATGAAAGTCTGAGATTCATCATTGAGCTTGTGGAGGTGGAAAGAAATGAGCAAGGGGAGAAAGAAGTCATTGCATCTTCATCTTCCCTAGTTTGTATATTTTCCTTGCACTAAATATTTCTAATCTATTAGAGATTCTGAATTTCAGAAATGAGTGTGCATAAGGAATAACAAATGTTCACCCCACGACAGTGAAATTGGGCAAGCCTCTGCCACCCACAGCTCTACCAGTGCTCTTTTTCCATGCCTAGCCCAGCCTCAGGCTTCTCACACAGCTTCTTGTCCTTCGGCCTCTTGCACTTGCTCTGCCAAACCAAATGTTTTTTCCCACTTACCTTGTCCAGATAAATGTAGACCACATCAGCTTTCACTTCTGTTTTCTTAACAATGGTTCTGCGCTCCAGCTGGGGTAGGAAACAGTAACACAGGGAAATCTGAGAGCACTTTTCTTATGGCTTCCTGACCTGGGGGACCCACTGCTCTACTGAAGGGATGGTGTGGAGCTGGAGTGTGTGTGGGACTGTGTCTTTCTCACAGATAAGGGCTTTAGTGGTTATGTTTGGTAGTCCCTCCTGGACACCCCTTGTGAGCATCTTGGGGATGATCTATGCTGTCACAGGTAGAGGAATCTCCCACTCTGGAGACAAAAGGCTGTGTGGATAGTACATGGGACTGGTGCACTGGTCAGCAGAGAGGTGCAGGCCCCGGGAAGGATTCTTGTAAGCTCATCTCACTGACAGCTAGAGTGCTCTGAAAGACCTGCCTGGGGGCTGTGCACATAATTCATCTTTCAGTTTTATGGCTTAATTTGTGGTGGGGAGGAGGGCAATATTTTTGTCTATAACTAGAGTCTCTGTAAGAAATCTTGTCTTAGAATTTCTGGCAAAAAATCCCACGGTGTTTAGCACACCCAGCAGCACGTTGTTCGTGGCCGAAGTCAGAATAATGTCAGTGACAGAAGCTGAACCACCTCTGATCTCCTGTAACTAACTTTTGTGAGGCCTGTACAGAAACCAGAAGGTTTAGATCAGTTACAACAGCAAAGGGCCTCTGCTAATTTAGTTACCCTATGGCCTGAAATGAATAGCTCCCAACAGAAGCAAGCAGGTGGGACCCTCCAAAGTCCTCACCAACATCCTGGATCTGGGAGCCAGGACAAATCCAGACAGCAGGGAGACCTCCAGGATCACCATGTTGGATGTGACTCTGCTGCCAATGTAGCTGAAGAAGAAGAAACAGTCAGAGGGTCTGTCTCTGGGAGAATAGTGCCCTCCAAGTCCTCCTTCCCTCCAACACCATACCCCGTGGCTTCCAAGGAGGTAGCCAGCCCCTTCTTTCCCCACCCCTTCCACCAACTGCCAGGTCCCTCCATTGCAGCCCTGAGGCTTTCCCCGGCTGCTGTCCCCAAGCACAGCAGGGTCTTGCTGGAGGAGGAAACCCTTGGGGTCACCTGGCGAGGATGCGGACGGTGAGGACATGTGCATTGGCCTGGCTGCAGTTGGTCAGCTCTGTGTTGACACGCAGAGTGAAGGTCACAGCAGCCCGTGGGGGAGGCTCATGGTACCTCAGCACTGTCTGTCGGGAGGGGAGAAGACAGGCCACGCATGACCTCGTGCAGGGAGAAGAGGCAGAGTCCTCCATCCCTCCTCTTTCCCACACGTGTCCCACCACCTCACCTGAGCGAAGACACAGCCAGTGCCATGGACCTGCAGCAGGAAGTGCCCCGGGACCTCTGTCAGTGCTGCCTCCTGCACCAGCAGCCTCTTCTGGCGGTTGACTTGGAAAGTCTTCCCGGAGCCCCTCTGAGACTTCACCCTCACAAGTGCCTGTCCCGATGTGCTGAACGTTCTTGCTGCGTATTTTGCTAAGGCTTGCAAGGCAACAACTGTGTCCTAGAAAGTGAGAGACAGTCACCCCTCTGGAAGCATCAGCTCCAGCGAAGCTGACTTGGAGCAGGAAAAC